ATGTAATATGTAATAGAAACAATGTAACAGATGAAGAATTTATTTCGGCTGTTCTTTTAACCTGTGATCATCTGGTTCTATGATTCTGAGCCTACCATAAAACAGAACATCTTGGTGGAAGGGGGAATGGTGGACCAAAATTTCCCAAGTCATTGGAGACAGGAAAGAGACAGAAAAACAGAGTCAGGTAAAAGAGATAAGATGTAACCTCCGAGAACAGAACCCAGTGACCCACTTCCTGCAAGCAAACCCCCCCTTCTACAATTTCACCACTTTCGAATAGTCCATCAATTATAAATACATCATTTGATCAATCCATTGATTATGTAGGAGCAAGTCAAGGTCCAATAGTTTCAATGATTGGATCCAAGCTGGCAACACAGCAGCTTTATGGGGAACACTTCATATCCAAACCCAAGCACTTTGTCTTCACTCACTTGATGATATTTTTCATCATTAGTTCCACAAAGATTCACTTAGCTTCACCAGCTTAATAGTATCTGGGAAGGCAGGAAATATATAATGTTCTGAAAATATATTTTCCTATGCCAGCAATTGTTTTGGGCAATTCAGAGCTCTCATGGTACTTGATATGATTGCATGTTGTTATTGCTATTGTTGTTGTTTCTGAAAAATCAAATGTTTAGGTCAAAGTTAGAACTTTGTGTGCATTTTTATGTTGGCATATCCAGACATTACAATTGTATGTTTGAAAAGGGGAATAGAATCTTTTTTTGTTTATTTTGTTTTCTTCTTTGAGCCTACACCTTTTCCTAATTTGATTGCTTTCTGTTTTATAGTTCATTTTCCTGCCTTGGTATATCTCTTCAACATCAGTTTCTCCTCAGCAATAACTTTTATTAAAGAATAATAAGTCTTTGGTCTCTTTGGACATGTGTTTGCCCTCATCCCTTCCCCTCCCCCCCCCACTCCCCTTCTCCCAATGAACTTCACCAGGGCACACTGAAGGTTAACAGCTCCATTCCTGAATTCTCTTGGATCCTTTCTGCAGAAAAGTGCCAAAGAATATAAGCAGGGCTCAAAAGTATCTGGACTCTGCCAACTCCTTTGAGGAGGGCTCCACACAGCTGCACCTTCTGCCAGTTCCCCTCTGGTCTTGCTGTGCCCATCTTTTCCACCCTCCCATCTTTTGCTCATGTGAGAAAGGAACTTTTGGACTTTAGAGAAATGATAGAATGCTTATTTATCTAGCAGTACTCTATTTTGTTTGTTAACAGGTGGAAAATTATTTCTCAATTCACTGAGTTTTTCCACTCTGTTTTGTTTCCATCCCCCACACACAGAGGGCTGAATGTGTCTGGTGATCATGTTCAAATATTCCCCTCAATTGTCAGAAATGACAAGGGTTGCTTCAAAAGCTTTTCCCCCAGCTGGTAAAACAGTAGAAAGGTCCAGGTGAATGGCAAGGGCATTGCTGGAGTAGTTGGTTGAAGGGTCCTAGCCATGCTTGTCTAAAGGACATAGGGTCAGAGGGTCACTCCATTAACACTGTCTTTCCTGTGACTGGTGTCTTGCTGTTTGTTTCTTTTGTGATTCTGCCTATGTCAAGAGGCAATAAACCCAACTCAAAGCAGTTCAGCTAAAAGAGACTTATTGGCCTGTATAATGGAGAGGTGGGACTGACTTTCTGAATACAAATAGTTCTATATGAAGACTGGCTTCTCTCTCTCTTAAGTTTTTCTCTCTTTACTACTAGCTCATTCACAAACAGGTTCTCCCTTCATGAAGTTTTTGACTGCAGAAACACAAGAACTTGTATTTTTTTTCAGTTTCGTTTGCATAAGGGGCATTTTAATCAACCACTTGACAGTATAAGGGTTAGTCTTATGAAATTGGATTTTCTATGACTCTGGAAAATGAAGTAGCTATGGAGATCTTATGGGCTTTTATCCAGACTCCTTGCAAAAGCTTCATTGTGTTCTGTTGTCATTGCCGTTGCTTGGCAACACACCTTGATTTATATCAAGTCTTTTCTACCTTTCCTGCAACTATATGTTTCAAGGGAAGCTGGTCCCAGCTCCTGGCCATAGGTAAACTAGTTCAAGGACCAAGGAAGGACTAAGTTGACAGAAAGAACCAACGGCTTTGAGGACACTGTTGAGCTTCAAAATTCAGACTTTTTATAACTTGGAACAATAAATTACTGTCATCAATTAGAGTATTTTATGTTAACTTTTCTTATCAAATGGGAATTTGTTTTTGCTGTGCTATCACTTATCCTACACGCCTTAGTTGCATACTTTTATTACAGTGCACGCAACTGAAAGCATCTTAAATATGCAATCTCATTGGTTCTAGTGGGGTCATATGGCCATTTCTGACCATTCCTTGTGGGGATGTGATGTGTGATGACCCAGTACCCGTTAGCAATGGGATGGATTCATTCTATCTGACCTCATGGACTGAACATGGGAAATGAGGAATATCCAATGGAAAATGGGGATGTGGTTTCCCTGAAATAGTGAGAGAGATAGAAGCTGTGAATCAAAAATGTCAGATGTGAAATACTTTGTCCTTCTGCGTGTGCCTTTTATTGCAAAGTAATCTCACATTGTGAATGTGGTAAGTAGGAGGAGTGTAATTTCTTGGTCGGGTAGCCCAGAGTATGTAACTTGGAAGGAGTTTTAGATCAAAGGCAGATCTGCTATGTTATTGAAACATATCAATACCCTGTGAAGTCTTTCCCACACTTAGGGGCTCATGTATCCAACTTTGGGCCTAAAGCTGTTTTGGGATCGCAGCAAATGAGAATGTGACTCATGGCCAAGAGTGACAAAACACTGAGTAGCATGCTGTGATCCAATGCTTCCTAAGGATATTGAGCAACCATCCATCTAGCTCCATGGTTTCCTGGCCCACAACTCTCAACCGCTCCCCCCCTTCTCCTCCCAAGTTCAGTTGGTCTTGTTATTCTCAGGATTGAGTGTGCTATGTAGAAGAGGGGGGTGGCCTCAGGTCAGGGTCTGTCTAGTGATTTCAACTCTCTTGTTGGCTGGAATTCCATCTGTCAAGAAGGTTTTGTACTCAGCTATTTGATAGTGGAAGGGTTAGTCCATGAAACTGGATTTCCTGTGTATCTGGAAAGAGGAGCAGCCCTAGAGATCTGACCTGCTCTGGGAAAATTAGGGGTTAGTTTGTTCCATTCTCAGTCTCTGCTGAATCTAATGTACTTCAACATTTGAGGATTTAAAAGAGCAAATAAATAAGAAAGGCAAGATCGTTGTATTTTTTTTTTATTATTATGAACTTTAGTAATGGTACGACAAGAGAATCTAATCAACATTGAACTATTTACTTCCCTCCAAAGCAATTTCCTCTGTCAATGAACAGATTCATTTTTTACTCAGCTATAATTAGTGCGAACATAATAGTTTTTGCTTAAGAAAGGTTTTCTTTACCTTGGCATCCTGATTTGTTTTCATAAGGGAAGAAAACACAGAGAATGAGAAGGAACCTCTGCGGGAGGATGGGGAGGATTCTCTGGGGTCAGAGTCTTCTAGAGTGAAAGAAACCATCAATAAAGAACCTGTGCTACGCCCACAACTTCACCCATCAACTTTCTAGTCCCATATCTGACACCGCAGGGTTCTCATCTCTAATGGAAGAATGAAACCCAGCTTCCCAGTCTGCTTTTATGGCTGTCCTGGGTTTGTGCCCTGGCCCTTTCACGCTGGCTGGTTTGCTGAGTTGTGATGGTTGTCCACATGGTTCTCCTTACAGGAAGAAAGCAGAAGAGATTACCATCCCAGGCAGCTTTCCATACTATTTCTCACAAATGGATATGTGTAGCGTGTGCTACACATATTGGGATGTTGAACTCAGGGCCTCATTTGCTAGCTAAGCACTATCGACCACTTGAATTATGCCCCAGACTTTTAAAAAAAGTTCTTATTTTTCTAGTGGAACCTTTGCCTCTCCCCTACATTTTTTTTTTTTTTTTGCCCTGGTCAGTTTCTATCCAGATCTTCTTACCTTTCCCTCCCCCAAAACGTGGGCTTACAGAAGTGAACAACTGTATCTGACCCTTCTTTTTGAAAGTGTGATTATACACCTATGCTTAACCATCTCTAAAGCATAACATTTATTGCCAGGCCTTTTTCCTAATTTAAGGAAGCAGACAAGTTGGGTTTAATTAAAAACAGCAACTATTTGTACAGCTGCCCCCAGGTTCATGACTCATAAAAGAATCTAGCAAGAACCTTGCTAAATGGTTTTCCCTTCCAGAAAGAAAGCAGACCTACTGAGGCCGTGAGGCCTTGGGGGAAGGCGGAGCCTGCTGTACCTCTGTGACATTTAGGATGCCACCAGGCTGTCAACTGTGCCCATCTTGCCTGACGCGAAGCCAAGAGGAGCAGGGCGGTGAGATCTCCTAGGTCCATTTCTCTTGTTCCGATGGACGATGGACCTGAAGCCTTGAGGATTACTCTTAAGTAAAGTGTTGTGAAAATGCTCCTAAACGTTGGGAACTTTCGGAAAGCCCTTCTGCCTTTGGTATGACAAAGCCAGCCAGCCACTTCTTTCTGAGAGTTTTCCTGGGGGGGGGGGGTCTTTCTCACTTTCGTTCCTCACCCCAGGCCTAAGTGGGTCCTTGGCGAGCCTGGGAACAAGGCGAAGGGGGGTGGGATGGGCGGGGAATCTGCTGGCGGATGCCTCAGCGCCGAGCAGAACCTGGTCCATCAAAGCCCAGGGAGTGGGGCGGGGGTGGAAGAAGCAGGATCGGAGCTCAGCCTTTGGCTCACACTCAAGAGCACCAGGCGCAGCGGACCCGCCCAGGGTCAGAAACAAACCTATCGGGGCTAGCGAGGGGGCACCACCTGCGGGCCGGGCTCGGGGAGCCGGCCACCCAAGCTGAGAGGAGCCCAGGCCTGGGAGCTGAGGTTTAGGAAATGTGACCCCGGCGACCCTAAATTCCACCCGCACCCCCCGCCTCCCGGCTCCGGCTCCACCTGCCTGCCGAGCGCGCAGAGCCAACGGAGGCGATGGCCAGCCCTGCGCCCTTAGTGGCCTCCATCAGCCACCAAATGGTGGCTTTGCAGACCCTGCAGCTGCTGCAGCAGGAGTGGGGCTGGGGGGAGGGTCCTGGTGCCCCCGGGAGCTCGCGCGGCCCGGACCACGTGCCCGCCACCCCGGCCCATCGCCCAGGCTCCATACGGGCCCGGCTGGGGCCTGGGCGCTCGGAGGAGTGCAGGAGCTGGAGAACCAGGAATGGGGGCGCCGGGGTGCCGGCGAGCACTCCGGAGGTGGAGGTGGTGCGGGGCGCCGAGGGAGGCGGGGAGCTGCTGCCCTTCCCCCAGGCCCGCAGGCCCTGCACGCTGGCGCGGATGGCGATGCGCAGCGCGCTGGCCCGCGTGGTGGACTCCACCTCGGAGCTGGTCAGCGTGGAGCAGACGCTGCTGGAGCCCCTGCAGCAGGAACGGTCCTTCCCCATCCACCTGAAGGTGAATCCGGCCTGGCCTTCCATCTCTGCGGGAGCGTAAGGTGGGGGGGGGGGGGCGGTCCTTGGGAGTGGAGATCGGGCGGGACCGCGGGGAGGGGGGGGGCCCTGGGGCTGCTCTAGGTGGTCCAGCTCCTAGAGAGAAGGGAGAGAGGGCGGGGAGTGACACTCTGGGGGCAGGGTAGCTGGAGCAGGGAGCTGGAGGTTCACCTACAGTCAGCCTGAACAGGTAATACTCGGGAGACCTTGTCCAAATATCTCCCCCCTCCCTCTCTCTCCCCATCCGCTCTCCTCCCCCTTCCCCCCTCTCTCCCCTTCCCCTCCTCTCCCCCTCCCTTCCTCTTATCTCTCCCCCCTCCCTTCCTGCTTCTTGCTAAATGCAAGTCCCTTTCCACAGGGAGGGAGGGCAGCACCCCTGCCCTCCCATCCAAACTAATAACCCCTCCTTCGGAGCCTTAAGTACCCTTCTGCATTTTATATGATGAATACAGCTACTTTTATTTAGAGTTCTGTCACACCCAAAAATCATAATTATTTTTGCATAAACCCACTTTCTGACAGGGCTCAGAGATTCTCATAAGGTGGGGTGAGAGCTGGTGAGGCCCAGTTAAAGCATGAATCTTAAAGAGGAGCTCCTGCCAAGACACCCAGCCCTTCCTTGAAGAACAGATTCCTCATAAGGCAGGGAACTGTTGTTAGCTGGGGAACAGAGCTGCATGGGGTCTGGATTCCAGTCCTGCCTTTGCCATTCACTAACATACTAGGATTATTATTTTTTTTTAACATACTAGGATTAAACCCACAATCTCTTTGAGACCTTCTGTCTTTCAAGTTTGATCCCGTGCACTGCCCCTTGAGTTGGGAGTCTAGAGAAAGAAGTCAGGGAGAGGTGTGGAGGAAGGCTTGGGGCTCTGCTCAAGAGTAGCTATTCTTGCTATATCAGCCAATATTTGGGGTACAATTGCTCTATATAAATTTGTGCTACGTACTGTAAAAGACTTATTTCAAATGAGACACAATGCTGCCTGTTATAAAACCGAGTATGTGTTGTTTCTTTCTACCAGGATTTTTCTACTTTAGCTCCACTGACATTTAGGGTTGGGTAATTTTCATGCTTAGGGGTTGTCCTGTGTATTGTTCAGCATCCCTGACCTCTGACCACTGCATGCAACCAGTGTGCTCCCTACACCCCAAGTTGATACAGCCAAAATATCTCCAAGACACTGCCAAACAAGGATGAGGGTGGAGTGGGAAGTTAAAACTACCTGCAGTTGAGGAAATGAAAAAACTGAGCAGCATTTCACCCAGTATATGAAGATTTTTAGTACCAAGAAAATTTAAAATCTTGTCAATTAAATATGATACATTATTAATTGGAAGTTACATCCTAATTTCATTTCGTGTAGTGTGTGTGTGTGTGTGTGTGTGTGTGTGTGTGTGTGTGTGCATGTGCTAGTGTTGTTACTTGAACTTGGGGCATTTGTGATAAAGTTTAATTTATGAATTAGGCATAGGGAGAGATAACGGCATGATTGCAATAATGATTGTAATAAAAATTATGTGAGAGTGAACTTTCTTTTTCTTAAAATAGTTTACTGTGTTATATGCCCCTGTCTTGTGATGATGTAAGATGATAGAATACTCACATGACAAAATGAAGTGGATAATAGCATAGCGTGCTACATAACGGTGTTTGTGTGCACGGTGTGTCTCACAGTGACAGCCCATCTGAAAGCCAAGGGGGTCACTATACAACTAATGGGTGGGTACTGGATACAGCATGGAGCACTGGACCAAGGGATAATATATATTTTGGGCAGAGTAGGGTAAGATAGTGCTCAGAACTTCATTACACTATACCAGAATTGTTAACAATGAAAAACTTTTGGATAGAGTTCTCCATTTAATATTTCTGGAATTCTCCACTTAATATTATTGGACTACAGAAAATGGCTTAACATTGGATAAGTGCATGTCACTGTATTTTCTACTGCCTCCTCCCTGCCTTTTGCCTCTTAATCCACTAGCAAGCATAAATCATCCTTTGCCTCCCTAGCCTCTTGAGTCACAGTCTTTTCTTGTCTCTAGAAAACTTTATAAACTCCTAGATGTGTTGCTGCCACATTCTAAAAGTGTCCAGAGTGCTGATTAGAAAGATGCAGAGATCTCTAGCATTTCTACTGCTGGAGTCTGGTTACCTGCAGGAGAGCCATGCATTTCAGGGCACCTGAGGACACAGCCAGTGCTTTTGAAAGGAAGAGGAGTAGGAACAGCCAGTGTCTAGGAATTTTGGTTGGCTTGCGGTTTGGAGAAAGGGTGGTATCTCCATTTGGCTTCTAGATTAATTAGACTTCAGGGGACAGCGTTCTGTCTTTCCAAGGGGCTGGCTATGCAAGCTTGGCTTCATTAGTGCTAGTGTTGATTCAAATGATTTGGAAGGGTGTTTTATCTACTTTTACGTTAAGAATGTGCAGATTGGTTTTCTACAACAGCATGGTTTCAGGAGGGATTTTGCTCATGGAAATAACACTTGGATATCACTTAGAAATGTTTAGAAACTGCCCCAACATTGGATCTCTTTGGCTGTATTATTTGTCATAAAGGGCAGGGGAGAGACTAAAACCAGGGCCCAGATGGCAGGCATTAGGGACCCTAAAGTGAAGACAGCACAGCAGAGCAATCTACTCCCATGATGCATTTCAAATCTACTACTCTGTGTCCTTCCCTCTCCTCCCCTCCTTGAAGTAACTGAACCTTCCAGTGCCTCAGTCTTCTGTTCTGTAAGGTAGCATAGTGATTATCTGACCCTGAGATACTACACAAAAAGTTTCAGTCAGTTGCTTTCTGCAGTTAGTCTTCAGATATTTATGCTATTGTCATCATTAATATTAATATTATTATTATTATTGTCAGTCGTGGGGCCTGAACTTTGGGCCTGGGCTCTGTCCCTCAGCTCTTCAGCTCAAGGATAGCGCTCTACCACTTGAGCCAAGTACCACTTCAGCTTTTTCTGCTTACGTGGTGCTGAGGAACTGAACCCAGGACTTCATGCATGCAAGGCAAGCACTCTACAACTGAGCCACCTTCCCAGCCCCAATATTATTATTATTGATAGGTTAATGCCTCACAAATTCTTATTGGCTTGTTTTTAGCATGTATTCGTTGTACTGAGCCACACCTCCAATCTCTTACAGTTTATAACCTCTTTTCTTGTTGATTACTAGTCTAAAGTCTCTGACCCTTGATACAGTCACATTGGGAGTTATAACTTCAACATCTGAATTTGGTGGGTGGGAGTGGGGAGGGTGAGTGTATAATCTTGGGTGATCTATGTGTTTCCTATGAAGAGCACCAACCATGATGACAAAAGGCACCAGGTAAGCTCAGAAAAATCACTTATAAATTCCTAATGCAAGTGAGAGGAATGCCTGAGCCATTTGTGACCCCAAAGGGTATACAGAAGTGTCCAGGAAGAAGCCCATGTACCACTTTTGAACTATTAAAAATGATCCGTTCATATCAGGGCCATTAGCCAAGCCAATTAGGAAGTTACTCTGATCAAGTTTTGTCTTTCTTTGAGAACTCTAAATACTGAAGAGTTTCCAAGAATTCTGTTTTTCAGCAAGTTAGCGGCAAGTCTATGGCTAATGCCAACTTTTGGAGGCAGAAGAACTTTCTATTATTGATGAAACTTGCCTGTGAGCTCATTCATTGCAATTAGTTTATCCTGTTACCAATTATTCCATCATGTTCAGTAGGCCTTTCTGGTTTGTTCATTCTACAGACCAAGAGCAGTGGCCATGAAATGATTGGCTTTGACCTCACAGCTAATGCTGTTTGCAAGCTGTAGTTGTGAATATTGTATTAGGCTGTTCATGGGATGACATTGAGGACCAGTGCTTCCCTTCTCCCCTCTCCCCCCAGCATTAGTTAGTGAAGTCAGATTGTTTAAATTTGGAAATTGGGCCTATAAAACTTGTTCCACACCATTAAAGAGACAGATGCTTGTGGATGTCTTATACAGTAGCCATATCTGGGGGTTGCTTGTTATTTGGGACAAAGTTGTACCTCCAGGGTTCAGTGACACATCATAGAACTTCACTTCCATTGTCGTCTCTGTCTCTCTCCCCCCTCCCCCCAGTATCCATGGATGTAGTGGTGACTGCTGTAGAAGTAGCTTATTTATAACTTTATGATATTCTATAAGGTAAATGACATACACATCAAGACATGATGGCTTTCTGGAATAAAAATTTGGAGAGTAATTTCAAAAAGGCTCTAAGACAAAATGACTTATGTCTGCCAGCTTGGAGAAAATGCTTCAGTGTTTTATTTGACCATTTTGGGGCTTGCCTTGTGAACATCCCTGAATCAAATGTTTGTACTCATCACAAAAGTGCTTTTCACGGAACTTTTCGGCTGAAAATAGTGCCATACCCCAAGCAAAAGCCTAAGGAGCCTTAGTTATTTGTGAGCATTTCCACTGGGTCTACCACAAGTAAAAATGTTTAATTTCCTGTGGACGATAGACTTTTTATGGTGACTGGCACATACTTTGGTTCTTCATTGGGTGTTTTATTAATACACAGTTCCGTATCTATTCTAGTCTGCCCTTGAGCTCAGGTAATGGGTAATTGCTCTGGGGTCTGTAAATTCCTAGTTCAAAGCCAGATGTGGCAAGACCAGAAGACGCTGGGACAATTGCTAGTTCATGAGAGTATTTTGTTCACAACATCCCTCTAAATCATCACACCCATTTTAAGGACACAATGTGGAGGATACTAAAATCTGTGAACAGGGTTCATGTTTCTTTGTTGGGCCTCACACTGAGCTGCTGAGGTAGAAAGCTGTGTGCTGGACAGGTGGAAGTTCAAGGTCAGACCTCATCTTAAAAAACTGGAGAAAAGCTTTCTGCCCTCTCTTCCCATCCTCCCTTCTTTCTGTTCTTTCTACTTCCCTTCCTTCCTATCTCCCTCCTTCTCTTTTCCCCCTCCTCCCTCTCTT